AAGTTACCAAACCTATGAATAAAGAAGTATCTCTACATAGAAATGTTTTGAGATTTTCTTTTTTTTTTTTTCGAGTTGGAGTCTCACCTAGGCTGCAGGGCAATGGCACGTTCTTGGCCACCGCAGCCTCAGCCTGCTGGGCTCAGGCAATTCTTCAGCCTCAGACTTCCAATAACTGGAACTACAGGCATGTGCCACCACACCTGGCTATTTTTTAAAATTTATTGTAGAGATGAGGTCTCGCCAAGTTGCCCAGGTTGGTCTCAAACCCGTGGGCTGTGGCAATTCTTTCACCTTGGCCTCCCAAGGTGCTGGGATTACAGGCCTGAGCCAAGGCCCCTGGCCCAGATTTTAATTTCTTTTTTTTTGACTTGGAGTCTCACTCTGTCGCCCAGACTGGAGTGCAGTGGCCGCTCCCAGCCACCGCAGCGACCTGCCAGGCTCCGGCGATCCTTCTGTCTCAGCCTTCCAAGTAGCTGGAACTACAGGCGCACGCTACCACGCCCAGCTGATTTTTGATTTATTGTAGAGATGAGGTCTCGCCAAGTTGCCCAGGCAGGTCTCGAACCCGCGGGCTAAGGCAATCCACTCACCTCAGCCTCCCAAAGGCACGGGATTACAGGCTGTGCCACCAAGCCCGGCCAGATTTTAATTTCTAAGTGTGGGTCACTGCACCTCGTGCTTATAATTCCAGCACTTTGAGAGGCTACGGCAGAGAGATTGCTTGAGGCCAGGAGTTTGAGATCAACCTGGACATCTTAGCAAGATCCTGTCTCTAAAAATAATTATCAAAAATAATTTTTTTTTTTTCACTTGTAGTCTCACTGTCACCCAGGCTGGAGTGCAGTGGCACACTCACGGCCACCGCAGCATCGACCTGCTGGTTTCAGTCAATCCTTCCACCTCAGCCTTCCAAGTAGGTAGAACTACAGGCACACGCCACCACACCCAGCTAATTTGGTTTATTGTAGAGATGAGGTCTTGCCAAGTTGCCTGGGCTGGTCTTAAACTAGTGGGCTCAGGCAATTCTCTCACTTCGGCCTCCCAGAGTGCTAGGATTATAGGCGTGAGCCACTATGCCCAACTGTTAAAACATTTTTAAAAAGAGAAAATCCAAGAAAATAAAAATACCCTGAAAAGGAATTCCCAGTTAATCTCTTCTCATAATAAGTTATGAAAGGGGGAGGGGAGCCAGGGACTCTGTCTAGTGGGAATTTTACTTATTTGTGCCAACTGAATCTAGCGGAGGGCTCTGAAGAAGGGAAGGCAGATAACATAGTGGTGGGCTGTTGTTCTGGGCACAGAAAGCAGCATGTAGCTGCACACTGACAACAGTGAGACAAGCTGACAAAGGGGACAGAAGATGGACTTGACAGGAACACAGAGAGTTAGCGGGTGTGTAGGCAGCATGGCATATGAGATGTGGGCTGGATGCCATCGGGTAGAGCCTTGGTGATGAAGACTAATAGTTTAAATTTAATGCAAAGTACAACAAGGGCCCCGTGCAGCAGGCAGGGAAGCCCAAGACCAAGGCCAGCATTCCAAGCCAGCCAAAGGGTGGGTGGAAAGACAAAGCGTCTGGGAAAGGGGAGGTTATGAAAGTCATGAGAGAATGTGCTCAACACTTGGTCCAGGCCAGGCTTGGTGGCTCCGCCTCTAATCCCAGCACTCTGGGAGGCTGAGGCAAGTGGATTGCCTGAGCCCGCAGGTTAGAGACCAGGCCGGGCAACTTAGCGAGAGCTCGTCTCTACAATAAATAAAAAATTAGCCAATCACGGTAGCACGCACCTGTAGCTCCGGCTACTTGGAAGGCTGAGGCGGAAGGATCGCCGGAGCCCAGCAGGTCAACGCTGGGGTGGCTGTGAGTGTGCCACTGTACTCCAGCCTGGGTGACAGTGAGACTCCAACTCAAAAAAAAAAAAAAAATTTAAGGCTATATGTGGTGACACATGCCTATAATCCCAGCACTATGGGCGGTGAGAGGATTGCCTGAGCCCAGGGTTCAAGACCAGACTGAGCAACTTGAGGAGACCTCATCTCTACATCAAAAATTCAAAACTAGCCTAGCATAGTGGCACATGCCTGTCATTCCAGCTACTTGGAAGACTGAGGTGGAAGGATCACCTGAGCCCAGCAAGTTGAGGCTGTGGTGGCCATGAGTGTGCGACAAAGTGAGCGACAAAGTGAGACTCCAATTCAAAAATAAATAAATAAAAGAAAGAAACACAGCAAAAAAAATAATAAAAAATAAAAGATTTAAGGCCGGGCGTGGTGTCTTACGTCTATAATTCCAGGACTTTGGGAGGCTGAGGTGAGAGGATTGCCTGACCCCACGGGTTCAAGATCAGCTTGGGCAACCTGGTGAGACCTAATCTCTACAATAAACGCAAAAATTAGCCGGGCATGGTAGCGTATGCCTGTAGTTTCAGCTACTTGAAAGGCTGAGGCCAAAGGATTACCTGAGCCCAGCAGGTCAAGGCTGCCGTGGCCATGAGCAACATGCCACTGCACTCCAGCCTGGGTGACAGAGTGAGACTCTGACTTAACATAACATCAAATAAATATTAAAAGATCCTAAAAGCTTCAAACACAAGGAATAGTGCACTATACACGGATAGGGAATTACTATACACTAACGTGTTAAAACAATTTTTCAAACTACAAATAAATTTCTTAGGGCACTTTTTTAGTTAACACAATTATGGTGTACTTAAATAGCAAATTCTTACTGTTTTCAAACATGTTATATTCTTTTTTTTTTTTTTTTTGAGTTGGAGTCTCACTCTGTCGCCCAG